ATGGTGCCAATGCTGTGAACTGCAAAGCAGTCTCCCCCCCCCCCCCCCCCCCCCCATGCAGATCAAGTTTCCTGTTGTTCTTCAGGAAAATACTGAAAATGGAGTTATTCCAGACAGCATTCTCTTAAGTTCTGCAACATTTTTTTTTCCTTTTTTCCTGTTTTCATTTGTTGTTATTGCTGTTTGTTAGGGGTTTTATTATGATATAGTTGTCTTATAGTTGTATCATGGATGTCTGTATTATTTCCTTTATAAGCTCCTAAAAGTCATCATTATGGTGTGATATACGTTTAATAAATATTTAGTCTTTTATATATTTGAATTTATTAGCCGCCCAACTCCAATGGACTCTGGGCGACGAATAAAACTAGAGAAAATTGGAAAACATCAAATCAGACATCCCAGACTAAAATAATCTTATAAACAATAAAATCAAATGAAACAAAACAGGGACCCTAGACAAATAATAAAACATCAAGAATAATTATTGTTAATAATCAATACTAAAAATAATTGAATAAATACATTTTCTGCATTATTATGTTATTATATTACCAATTTTTCACTGCTTGGCTTATAGGAGTGCGTGTGTGACATTTTGGTCATCTTACTGATAAAGTAAGATGCACTGTTTCTACTCACAGCTGTCATATATATTTCAAAACAATTTGTTATACCAATATTAAAACTTTCTTGATCATATGTGGTTAACTAGCACAAAAGAAAAGAATATCGTTGCAATTGATATCTAAATTGAGATCATAATACTTATATGCTTCTGAAAAGACGCATACTGGCAAGAAATCTGGAAATGAAGGCCCTAATTAATCTTATTCACATGGAGATGAATTTCATTATAGAACTACATGTAACAGTATATTAAATCAATTTTTCTTCAAAGACAGTAAAGCTCTTTGACCTACCTCTCAGGATCTTTTATTTTGGGTTCATTTTTTTTCAATGTTAATCCCTGAAATATAAATTTGACTCTAGTGAAAAAACTGACAAGTATTTATGTAAAGGGTTCACATACTTAAATCACAGCCTAAGGAGTCAGAAGCTGTTTCAGTGTCAGGAGTCAACAGGTACTGCCATTTGACATACACTGAGAGTTACAAAACTGGCTTTCACTTATCCTAGTGATAATCACAAATGGGGAGAAAAGATTTCATTCAAAGGGTAGAACCACAGAGTTAGTATCTCAGAGGTCACCCTATTAAATCAGTGCTTCCTACCTAAACCTGGGTAAATTACCCAAAATTGGGTAACAACACATAGAGACCCATTACCCAATCACAACAGGGACATTTAAATTGACTTAAAGATTGCCATGTGCACTAAAATATATTCAAAAAACTCCCAAAGTATTCCAGTTAAGACAAACATCAATGAAATTACCAATGATAATTTGTTGAAATGACATAAAGATCATTCAATGATATTGTTTTTATCCTACAGGTAGTCCTCGAGTTATAACCATTCATTCAGCGACCATTCGAAATTAGGATTTTGGGTAATGAAGGAAAACGTTTCGGAAACGCTGTATTAAATGGTGCCCTTCTGTGGCACGCAACATATGCTCCACATTGCAGCAACTCTGACACAACTGACAGGTGGGTTCATACAAAACGCTACCGTAGTTGCAGCCTGTCAGTTTGTGGTTCACTCAAACCCAGTCAAGTCTCGTAGTCTGACTGAAAAGGGAAATCACTGCATGTGATGCGAAGTTCAGGGAACAGTGTAAGCTGCATTTCATGAATCCCAATACTTCCTCCCCTACCGTTTCTACCGGGATGTCCAATATGCAGGGCTACCAGATCCAGGCTGCGAAAATCTTGGCGGTCAGTAGCAGAACTTCGGAAAACCCTAACTTTGCTGCCCTACCAAATATCCCGCATTCACTTGCCCGGAAGAGACCGCGGCCCCTCCGTTCCGCTTCACTGAGAGGGTTAAGGGGGATTCACACATCCCACCGAACCACAAACATCCGTTCTGTGAATCCAGCATTTGCAATGTTGAGATAAATGGGTACTCTCACTCCGGTGGGAGGAAAAATGCTAGCGGCGCCCTGCGAAAAAGGAGTTGGG